AGCGCAGCCATGTCTCTCTGCGTTTGAGTGTGTAGCCGTTGAGTCTTTCTTGCGAAAAAAAGACCGAGCTTTCGTTCTCCATGCCCCTGGCCCTCAAGTTGGGCACTGCCTTGCTGTCGAGGCGGGCTTGCGTGCAGAGGCGCCGAAGTTCCTGCTGCTGCCAAGGCTTTCGAGGGATTGTAGAAAGTGTGACTACGTGCGACAACACTCGATGCTAGAAGCGGCTGCAAGTCGAAGCGCCGAAAGGAGCTGATAGGAAAAAATCACATCGTCTTGTCTTCTCGTCAGGCAAGAGGATGTGCTCCGCTACCCAGGGTTGTCAGTGGCTCCCATGGCACGCGCCGTGGCTCAACGTAGCAAGGGGTTGTCACAGGCTGGACGGCTGATTCGTCCTCAATTAAGTCGCTCTTTTGTCGATAAGCAAACATACATAAAGTCACGGTTCATGCATGGATTTGGCACAAACCCTGTGATCTGCTAAGGGCACTACGGCGCCACATTGCAGCTTCTGACTGCGCGGGCTCGGAGTGGGCGTAGTAAGAGACATCCATCGTCACGAAGAGATATAAACTTCCTTTCCTTGTTGGGTCATGTCACGGGTAAGTCAGGGCGTCGAGCTTGTCGACGAGTATTGAGGTACGGAGGAGGGTGTGACAGTGTGAGCAGCACAGGTTCGGTGGGATTTGGAACTAGGCCATTGCTGTTTTACTATGAACTTGTAGCTTGTTCGGCAACATAAGATAAACCGAGGCAGATTTTTTGGAGTAGATTTCGAAATGCTTTCGCACATTGCTGTGCTTGGCAGGTTCTGGATGGCCGGCAACTGGGCAATGCAGCCTCGGCGCTCCAGGCAGCGTGTAGGGTTTCTGTTAGATTCGGGTCGGGGGACAGCATTTGATCGAATGTTACGAGGTTCGGGTGTTCCCTCGTGTCGTCAAGCCATACAATCTGTGCCAAGCCCCTAGTGTAAATCGGATCTAAACTTCCCTTACTGCACCAAACCTTGGAAGACTAGATTGATTTTTGGAATAGCTTGGCGCTCCCATCACGATCTCCTCTCCCTGGCCAGTGGATGGGCGCTGGAGGGAGCGAGACGTCCAAGAGCGTGCTGCCAGGCGGGTCCCGGTCAATCTAATTCGACACGGCTTCCTTGCTACGATGTTGTGCTGCGGCGACGCTGATACGTTGTTGATGTTGCTGGCAGAGCCAGCATGGTTCCCATTTATACAGTAAAACACGCAGTCCACATGTCTATGCGTCCAGTCTCTACAGGTCTAGTTGACCATGCTGCGCTCCGCTGTTGCCCAATGTATGATCATGACGGCGTCGGTTGTTCTGCCGGCCCTACCAATCAGTCGTTTGCGATCAGGTAGACACGTACTCGGTTGGCACGATGTCACCTGATGTAACCCTCAGCTTGCTCAGATGTAGTCCGTCACAAGTTGGCGTATGGCTTCCTTACACAATGCGGATTGCTGCAGGACGCAATCAGCACTTCCTTGGGCGCGCGCAAGAGATGGTGACTCGCCTTGGTTTCCCGAATATTTGACACAACGACCACTACCACTACCACTACTGCTACTGATGCTGCTACTGCTACCAGTACTGCTCCTGCTCCTGCTTTGGTCCTGTTATTGCTCCTGCTCCTGCGGCTCCTGCTCCTACGCCTGCTCCTGCTCCTGCTCCTACTACGACTCCTACTAAACCGTAAACCCTAGACCCTAAACCTCTAAACCCCTAAACCCCTAAACCCTGAACGGTAGCCCCCTGAAGCTCCATGAGATCTGACTCTTGAGCAGGAGCAGGTCCCACCCGAAACCTAAACCTTACAAGCTTGAACTCCGAAAGCCCTAGAAGATAAAAAATAAACGTCTAGGGTTTAGGGGTTCAGGGTGTAGGGTTTAGGGCTTAGGCTTGAGGGGTTCAGGGTTTAGGGTCTATGGTTTACTAGGATAAGTGTCACTAGATTCCGGATGTGCTGCCTTTGTACCAGGTGGAAATGGCCAGACACCTCAGTCGTGGTGGCGATCGGCATGCTCGCGTCGTCAACGTTTGGGGCAAGGCCTCCTCATCAATCAACTGAAATGTTATTTGACTATACTGAGTTTAAAGCATGTGCTATATCTATACGGTGTTGCGTAATGTTTTGTTCAGTGGGGTTAAATATCTGGCCTGAAAATAAGTTACAAGCCTCTGTGATATGAGGACAGACCATGTTGCATGATACATTGCTGTATGGTTTTGCAATGGTGTATATCAGGCTGTTTTATGTGTGCATGCCATTATGTATGTCAGTATGTATGCGTATGCCGGCATGCATGCATGGACGGATGGATGGATGGATGGATGGATGGATGGATCGACGGATGTATGTATGTATGATTATGTATGTATGAATGTATGTATGTATGTATGTACGTGTGTGCGTATGTACGTATGTACGTATGTACATATGGTACATATGTAGTATCAATGTATGTGTGTATGTCTGTATGTATGTATGTATGTATGTACGTATGTGCGCATGGACGTATGGACGCATGTACGCATGTACCTATGATACAAATGCAGTATGTATGTATGTATGTACGTACGCACGTATGTATGTATGTATGTACGTATGTATGTCAATGTATGTACATGTTACATATGTATGTATGCATGCATGCATGCATGCATGCATGCATGGATGTATGTATGTATGTATGTATGTATGTATGTATGTCAATGTATGTATATATGTATGCATGCATGTATGAATGTATGTCTAATGTGTAGAACCACACACGCGCACACAAGCACGCACGCACACACACACATATGAAAACATTGAATAGTGATATAATTATGTAGCTATTATGCAAGTATATATGATATAACATAGCTGTATAAGTATATAATAATGATATATATATACACACACATACATAGATATATATATATACACATACATATAGATATAGATTATTAATGGCGTCTACCTGTATATGTGTGTGTGTGTGTGCGTGTGTGTGTGTGTGTCTGTGGCATAGATCTGCACGTTGATGTTCCTGCCTGCGAGCGACACCTGCTCCAGGCAGCAGGGCTCGGCAAGACAGCGATGCTGGCGGAATTCACTCGCTTCTGCAACTATCCTGGAAGCCTGGCGGATGTTAACGCAGCCGGCGAACCACCCTCCTCGTTTGATCTGTGATTTCCGCATTCGAGTGTGATGTATGTTTATGAGAGCCAGCCCTTCCTGTGAGCACCTGAGCCTAGGCCGACTCTTCGAGGGTGCCTCCATCTGGGTTACGCTGACACTGGAGTCACCGACGGAAAGCTTGTCAGGATGCCGAAGACAAGGGAGATTAAGTTGGGCATGTCAGGGTTTGAGAAGACATGACTACCTCCAGCAGTTTCGCCGTCGAAGCCTGCTAAGAAAGAAACTCTGTGGCGAGTTATGGCCCGACGCCCCAGCTGCGGAAATCACGACCCATCAACCATCGTCTCGCCTTAAACCCACGCGCTGTCAACTCCCAGCCAGGACCCCTCAGCTTGGAAAGGGCCACCAGCAATGCCTCCAACTCTGAACGTGGGCACCTTTTCTTGGAGCAGGCCCCCCGAAACGATTTCCTGCTTTTGGGGCGTTCCTGCACCGGTGCATGAAAGTGCTAGCATTGCAGTTGTGCACGGAGGTCTCGCAAGCTGTGTGGCGTGGCTGCAGTTGCAGCCATTGTTGAGAAATCCAAGTATCGTCTGATCCAACAGCATCTGTTGGGTTCAGTGACTTTGGTTTGGGTAGCCGTTGTGATCAGTTCTGCCAAAAGATGCTTGGAACAGTCGGTTGTCGGGCCCTAATAGGGCCACTTTGCGGTCTTGGATCCGCGGGCCAAGGACCGACTTCATGGAGCAAGTTTATGGACGGAAGTGGCTCGGCTAACAGAGACGTTCACGATGTTAAAAGGCGTGCACGGAACATCCTCAGGCAGCTTCATTCAACAAGTGGGCTCCACTTCAAGTCTTGCGAGTTCTGTAGGTTGCGTCGGATCTCGATTTGCCCGGACTTGTGGTCACATCGGATCGTCTGATGCTTGCTTGCATAGGTCTCACTTCGAGAACTTGCGGGAGGGCCTTCTGTGGGCGCTGAGGAGGCAGTGCTCATGGCCAGCTTGCCACAGGTTTTTTTGAAGGCAAACTTCAAGAAGGAAACGAATGGATCATGGATGTCGCCTGCACCCAAACTTCCAAGCAAGAAGATTCGTCCGAGGCGTGAAAGATGTGTTGCTTTCAGACTTTCAGAAGCCCTGGAGGTTGGACATCCAGGGGCGCACGCTTCTCGTGCTTGCCACTTTGGCAGACATGCCTACTTTGAAATGGGTGCCAGTCCCACAGTCAATCATTGAGAGTCTTTGGGGCGGGGTGTGGCAAAGGTGATGGGCAGTTAGTTGGCTGCAGTCTCACCACAAGACAGTTCATGAACCTCAAGCAGCCCTGCCACTGCCAACTCTTTAAACTCCGGGCTCCAAGCCTTGAGTCGACAGCCCAAAGCAATCTTCGAAGTTCTTCCTGTGAAATCATAGAATAAAAATAATAGTAATGATAAGAATAATAATAATATAAATGAGCTGCTGCAAGATGAGATCTAAGAACTGCATCAGCTGATCAGTCAGAACGTTCCCGGCGCCGACCGTTCGTTAGAAAGCTGTCTGCTGAGCAGTTATGAATGGCCGTCACGAAAGATGCCTTCCTGAACCATGTTTCTTCAAAAGCCGGGCATGTCAGTTTCATATTCAAACCCAACGAACAAGTTTGCGGTCTTGCTTGAACCCTTAGCTCAGGATGGCATCGAGGACTGGATGGACAGTTCAGCGGTCAGGTGCAGACACATGTGCGAGCTCGGGTTTCCAAGGTCCAAAGCTTCGCCCGCCCTGTTAGTGCTTTGTAGTACTCGCAGTAGCAGCATCAACAGAAGCAGAAGTAGCGGGGGGTGGGGAACTCGAGCACGACCAGCCGGTGGCAGCAGCGGCAGCAGGAGCAATGCCGACAGCGAACGCAAGTGCAGCAAAGTACGGGGAGGAATTGGATAGCTTAGCACAAGTAGGCCGCCTCGTGTCGGTTCAGCTATGCTTGAGCCCAGGGAAAGTCCAGAGGTGTCTCGCTCGTCGCTGATAGGGAATTGCAGCGTTTACAACCTTCGGAGCTTGTGGCATGAGGTCGGGTTCGTCTTCTGCGACGGTTGACCGGAATCCAAGCCATGACGACATGAGCTCATCGTCGACTCGACCCAAACCTGAAACTCCCAACTGGACGAGTCAATCACAAGCTTCCCTTCCTGCGGACTTCTGGCAGGGGGCTCCTGGCGGACATGCTCCAAGCCACTGAGAGACTCTGCCTCCTCTTCGGCAGCCGGATCCATGTGCCTTGCCAGAGCGGGTTTCTGGCCGGGTTCGGGGATCCTTGCCACCACAGATGGTGGTCATTCCCCCGTCGTGTGGCCAAGAGGAACACGACTTGAAGACTACTTCTCATCGGACTCAGAAAACTCTCAGAAACAAAGACTCCAGAGTGGACTCCCAGATGCCCCCCGGATGGCCGAGGTGCAGAATTCCTTCGCGGGCCTGAAGACGGACAACCTGGAACTTCGACCGCTGCAGGCGCGCGACGCCGCGCAGCTTTTCCTCTTCCGCGGCTCAGACACAGAAGCAGTGTGGAGGGATCGCCTCATGGGGGGTCTCTTTATGGGGCTCTGGGTTTCCTTTGCACCTTCGCGAGTGAAAGGAGGGCGAGTTTTTTGGGCTGGAGCCGAGGAGTGCACCGCCATCTCTACTGGAAGGCGCGCTTTGAAGCAAGTGCAGCCACTTGCCGAGCGCTTTGCTTCACAGCGGCTGTGGGCAGGACATTTGGAAGAACAAGGAGGAGTGGATGTCCAAAGCCAAAAACTGGTACGGGGACGCTGTCTACAGCAAGGAACCCCGTGGAGTTGTTGCACTCGATGTGAGTGCATCTGTGCGGCCAAACCCGTGTTGCAGGTTGCTGACCGGTCGCAGCTGGAAACTGGCGAAGTTCCCATTGCCTTGCAACGCGAGAATCGGGAGGAGGCCGAAAGTCATCTAGGAATCTAGGAGCTTCCGGGTGTAAGTTTCAGCAGTCACTTCTCTTTGCCAGGTCCTAGATGCGCTGGCCGCAATGCCGTTGCTGTCGGAGTTCTGCCAAGGCCTTGTCACTACCGGTCTCAGAGGGCTGCTGAAGCAGATGTCTTCCCACTGCATTCGTACGTTCCGGTTTAACTGCAATGTGACATGTTCTTGCTGCATCACAGCACCTTGTTACTCTCTTGACTTAGTACACGGTTGAATCCTCATGAGATATATGGCAGTTAAGACATATAATTTATGATCTTTTTTGACCATGACGTGCAGCCCACTGCATCGTACATTGAAATATCACCCTGCACTCAGCTGAATGCCAGGCATCCCTCTGAGGATCCAGCAAACGGCAGAGCGAGCCCTTTGACTGGAGTGGCCATACCGAGATCCCCCGAAAGTCGAAAATCGGGCAGTCTTCGGATCCGCCTTTTCGGGTCCCTTGGGTGGCTTTCTGGGTGTGGAAGAGCTCTCTTAAGAAACTTGTGCTGGACCCAGCGGCCCGAAGCCCTCAATCCAAGCATCTCTTTGTCCTTGTCATCTGCACTGCACGCATTGACTTCAGTTCCTTTGAAGGTGACTGCCACTTTGCCCTGCCTCTGGGACCTGCACGCACAGCTCCGCTCAGAGCGCGATCGCGGTCGTGCCGAGATCCAGCACCTGGGCTGCCCGCGATTGATGTAGGCTATGAAGAATGCTCTTGGGCCCTGTGATAGCAGAGGAAAGCCAGGAATGCAGCTTTCGGAATTAATGCAGAGGCTAGAAAGCATAACATCATCGGATCAGCTCCTCAGCATGTCTGAGGCAGCGACTGTTGGCGAAGAAGGCGACGATGAGGCCGGTCCAGCTTCGATCTTTGCGGAAGCCTGGTTGCGCAGAGAATTCCCGATTGAAGGGGAAATCATTAATACATGGCCCAGCGGAGAAAGACATTGTCGCAGCAAAGCGGTGCACGGTGGCACCACTGCAACTTCTCACCTGGCTCGGAAGCCTTTTGCCACATGAGCCCAAAGCCCCAAACTGCCTAAACCGCTCTCCTCCAGCCCTAGCCCCACAACCCTAAACCCAAAACCCCAAACCCTAGCCCCAAAACCCTAAACCCTAAACCCCAAACCCCAGCACCCCTTTTCTGGCCCCTAGCGGCTCCAGGCCGGGCGCGCGTCAGATCGGCAGCGCCTGGCAGCTCGGGAAGGCCTCGTTGAAAGATGCTTACGCCCAAGCCCATTCTGGCAGCTGTGGGTTTGGGGTTTAGGCTTTAGGGTTTGCATCATGGGGAGCTCATAAAAGTAGCGGGAGAATTTGAATTTTTTTTGGGTTTTTTGGAATACAGAGACAGTGCCGAGCATGAGCTCTGGTGCGGTCGGTGCCAGGTGATTGGTCAGGGAGCCCACGGAGTGGTCTATCACGCTTTGGATTCGGCTTCAGGCGCGGAAAGCGACCCCCATGTTAGCCTCGGCCTGAAAGGGCCCCTCCCCTTATGAAGCAGCTGACAGGCGAGTCCTTTGCCGTGAAGGTCGTGGAGGAGTCTAAAGAGCTCCACCAGGAGCTCGAGATGCTCCAGCTTGCCTCTGAGATTGTTTGGGGATGACTATATGAACTCATACTGGCTACATAGCCATCTCGCAAGGCTGACTATGAAGTCACTATCTATCATCTTCGGGTCGCTGACATTTTTGATGTTAGCATGCGCGTTGCTGCCAGAGAATTCAGAGGTCTCTGGAACACGAGCACATCGTGCCGGGCTCAGATGTGATGGGTCTCCCGCTCTCTCTCGCTCTCTCTCGCTCTCTCTCTTTCT